TCGCAGAGAGAGCGAATGCCTCGAACCAAGTGTCAAAGTGGGTCGTGTGTGCGAATTCTGGTTATGTGCAGCACAATTTTTCACCACACACTCCCACGACACAGAGAGTGAGAGAGGAAACTACAAAAACGAACCCGAAAACCGTGATCGAATTATCGAAGTGATAAGTGGTGAACGAGGCAACATGAGGAAGGTAACGCATAAATGCGTTCGAAACCGCTACCTAGCGTTTCCCAGGATTTAACAAAAACAAAAATGAATATTCGTCGGAGTCATGATGTATCAGAACCGATGTAACGCAATATCGATGTTTAACGCTTGTTTAATTTTCTTTGCTCAATTCAAATATAACCATGTTAAGTTGTGACACGTACGCACGCGTTGTAAGGAATAGCAGCAAAACTTGAGGACAATCGATGGTTCATGATGGAAGAAGGGTATACATTTTTTTTTTAAAAATAACCCGTGGCCATTTGACCACTGGTCATTTTTAAAAGGGCGGAATGTTGTATCCTAACCCTTCTTCCATAATTGAGATTAATAATATTTGATGATTTTTATATATATTATCTTTTTACTTGTTTTTAATGAGTGAAACACACCAAAGCAGCAAACTGCAAAACACCAGGTGTTGTTAAGTAATGAACCGGAGGAGGGCTAGGATGGCAGAATTTGCAACCTTGCTTCAAGGAAAGATAAGGCCTGATGAACGGGCACATGTCACCCGTGCAAGGGCAGAGACAGTGGGAGTGTCAGCCAGACATAGTTAAGGCAAAAAGCCCAACTATCCTGCATGGTTTTAAAGTAACGTCAAAATTCGAAATTCAACAACAGAGTAGGCTAAATTATCGATCCTCGCGCTCGCTCAAATTGGAGACCAGGCTGCGAGCTACATAAATGAACCATTGCCCATTTGCTAATCCAATACTGAATGTTAATATTACTGAAGTCAAAACGAATTCTATGACCTCAGCACATGGGCAAATAATAGGGCAGTGTCAACTCAAAGGCAATGGAAGAAAACAGAGGCGCCTTTGTCTAAATCACAACCACAGAAAGCCAGGAATCATCACTGATTGTGTGTTCAGGGATTCCGAGCTAGTTAGAACACGTGCACAGGGGGGGAGCTGATGTAAACAACCCTGCGCGTCTGGATGTGAGGGGGCCTTGGACCTGGAATTAAGAATAACACTCCCAGAGCAGAAGGTTGGACAGGGGAGGAGCTGATTTAAAAGAGAGTTGTATATCTCTCAAGGCGGGCAAGACCCAGCTGAGTAACAAGGCTGCGGGGGTCACCAGAAGTTCGCATTCGCCTAGTTAAGACAAAAAGCTCAATTATTCTGTATTGCTATTAAAGTAACGTTAAAGTCGGAATTTGACAACAGGGTAGGCTAAAGTTATTGATATTCACACCCACTCCAATTAAACCAGGCCACAAGTTACGCCTACTGAACCATCACCATTATTAAGTCAATATGAAATGTTATTTCCATACTTTAATACTTTCTATACAACTCGACCCGGAGCATATGACAATCAGAACCTTCCTAAGTCAAAATTGAATCGCACCCAGACAGGAGCGAATAGTCGATATAAGGTTGACGAGGGAAGGAAATTAAGAGCACGGCGAACTGCAAACGTAAGCAAAAAGCCGGGAACAACACCAGCCCAGCAACAGCGAGTGGGGCTTCGACAGGCCATAAAGTAGAATAATAACTCCCGGGGTCAGGGGACACAAGAAGAAGCAGGCAGACAAAAACCAGAACCGACTCCAAGGTTCAACCGCCCTCACCTACTCAGGAGTGACGGAAATTAATGAGGCCTTGAATTAACGGCAGGCAACAACAACGGCGAGCAGAGATAGGGTGGGGCAAAGACTGCGGGCTATGAAATGCAACTTCGTGTCAGTAAAGCTCTGACAAACAAGTTAAGTTAAAGACATCACAATACATAATATCGCACATAACATCAATGTTAACGCTATTCACCGTAAACTATATTCCGCTTATATAACCATGCAGGCACCAAGGAATACGAATTCCTAGGATCAAGAAACTTACCCCTTAACCTAAGATATCGGAAATAAATTAATAGTAATAAGTATATGCATGAAAAGACAAAAGTAAAACTTATGGAAAAGCCAGGATAACGGGATGAATCACCACCAGGTCGAATATAAATACATAATAAAAAAAAAAAACAATGTTAAACCCAGGGTCGGAGAGAAAGGGAGATCCCGGCCGTCTTTGTATCCCCGCAGCGCGGGATAGGAGTGTGTATACGCTCGGGGAAACACCTCCACTGGAGTCAAGCACCACGATGGGAAACGACAGACCTTAGGTTACATACAGAATCATAACTGTGAAATAGTAAGGGACAAATGTTAACTTAAAACTTTTAACCATTTCTTTGTGCGCCGGGTCGGAGAGAGTGTTGCCCCTCCCTCCAGGTTGTGCAACACGAACAAAGACGCCTATGAGACGATTTGTAACGTCTGTGTTTTGGGTTCATGAAGAAGGCCAGACAAGAGATAAATTGCACCCAGACAGAGAGACGACTTCGAGGCAATTTGTAACATCTGATTGTTTGCTCATGGGTTTTATGGAGGGAGTGTGACAACGGAATATACCGTCAGTGATGCACACAAGGACACACGGACGTACGGACACACACATGGACACACCTGCCTACGGACAGATCCTGACACAGCAAAAATCGGAAGCCCCGCCTTGTGGGCGGGATCCAGGGGGATTTTTCGGCATAAAGGAACGGATCCTGAGCATTGGAAACCAGTGCGACGGGAGGGTCCACTCAGAAGCTCGACCGGGAGGGTCGACTCAGGAGTGCGACCAGCGGGTCCACTCAGGAGTGCGACCAGAGGGTCGACTCAGGAGCGAGGGCGACCAGCGGGTCGACCCAGGAGCGAGCTCGACCGGGAGGGTCGACTCAGGAGCGAGCTGCGACCAGCGGGTCGGCTCGACTCATCTTCAGCTCGTCAACCTCTGCCGAGCCGGAGGTCTCTGCTGCCGCCGGAGTGGTGAGCATCGCAGTTTGGCGACGACCCAGAGCTGCGAGCTGCGAGCGGGTTGTGGGCGCCACCTACCGACCGGGTTCCGAACTGCGACAGCGTATCAACAGCCATCCGAACCAATTCGCCACGGTGACAGGGGATCGACTGATACGTATGACGCGCACCGCCCCCTCACCACACGACCACCAGGCGTCTGTTTGACCTAAAGAATCGACTCCGAACACTGACTATTCAAGACAACTCTTACCACTCAAAAACACTCGAACCCATAAGCCATCCGTGGCTGGAAAGCATCACAACGAGACCGAGTGATGGCCCTCCGTCTCTTATAAGAGTATTCTTAATTTTTATCTTTAATATTTAGTGGGCTGTACTCTTAATCGCATAAATTCCCAACAGATCCATCAATACGAACTGATTCTTGGCACCTCCTTCCGCCGAGCCACGCTCACGTGGGGAGTGGTGGCCCACCGGACCCTTATCAGGTGATCTGGTCCCCAATTAGTAAACTTGGTATAAGATAACGAGCTTCGGAAAAGGAGCACCGTCGCAGGCCCTTACTCCGAGCCGTTCTGTTGTCAGATAACCTGCCGATGTATCTGTTGAGATTGGTGCCTTTAAGAATAATAACTGTTTTTGATTGTGTTTTTTCTTTATCGCCGTATAATCTTTCAAGTATCTTTCAGTCATAATCGCCGCCCGTACTCGCATCCTCTACAGAATATTCAACTGTCCCGTGACCCAAGGTGCTAACAACGTGATAAGGGTTGCGTATGATCAATAAGGAGTGCGGTATTGCGTGAACAATATTGAGTATAATCATTCATTAACGTTAAGGTTTTCTTAGCATAGTATTTGCATGTTTTAACGACTCTCTCTCCCACTAACAACCATCGCGTTATGCGGGATCCATGTGCAGTTGTCAAAGTGAAATCAGACAATCGTTGATGATACTGTATTGATGCCGTATTGACGTTCCGGGATTGAGAGTTCGCATACTATATCATAGTTAAGGTTGAATTAGTAATAAATTGATCAATACAGAAGTGGTTGTGTGATTCTTTCCTGAAATCTATGCATAAGATCTGCTTCTGCGTTGAGATTTGAACTTGGTGACCTTAATAAACACACTAATACATACTCAGTAAATGTTAAAGCGATAACGGGGTGAACCGGGGTCTGGTTATCATAACGACTTGCATTATCATAATTACACCCACTCGCATAATTAATACGATTACCTCTCGAATTGGCATAATTAAAATGTGCGTAATTACATAAATTAACATATTTCCGGATAATTACACATTTGGCCAAATTTCATTTAATTATTATTATTTCCACTGAATATTCATAACCCACATATACAACATAATAATTTCACCCACGCACGCATACAACATAACAAATTTTCATACCCAACATATACAACAAGTACCTATATACTACATTACTACATACTACAACACACTACACTACTATATACTACTCCACTACTATTTACTATACTACTACACTACTATACACTACTACACTACAACACAACCATATACTACATTGTACACTACTATACATTACTGTATACACTCCACTACTATATACTACACTGTACAAAACTTTGCACTACTGTATAGACTATACTACACTGTACAAAACTAATCACTACACTACTATACACTACACTATACACTACACCATCATACTCTTAGGTTTTTTCGGTAAAGTCACGTAGGTAAAAAATAAAATTGATAGAAAAAAATAAAATAGTGATTTATTATTTTACTTTTATTAATTTTAATTTTATTTTTTACCTACGTGACTTTACCGAAAAAACCTAAGAGTATGAATCCTTGCAGTCACGAAAGCTTCAAATCTAGAACTACACCATCACACACCATCACCATCACAGCGTCATGACAACGTCACCACACAAGCGATCACGTGGAGGCGGGGTGACGTCAAAGTTTACCTGCACAGAAATTCCACCAGTTGGTCGACTTCTTTTCTGTGTGGGGGAGTTGCACAGAGAGGTTAGTTCTACATACTCACACACACAGATATACACAGTATCTTATATATAAAAGGCATTTTACAGTAAGAAACAATGTTCCACACTGCCCACCAGGGATTATTTGTCTGTCGTTGCATAAATAAATATATAATATAAACATCTCTTTGATTGGTGGAGACCTACTGCCGGGTACGGAGAGGGGAGGGGCCTAAGGGAGGAGGGTCAGGGGAGGGGCCTAAGGAAGGGGGGAGTCAGGAGAGGGGCCTGGGGGGGGGTCAGGGGAGGGGCCTAAGGATATGGGGGGTCTACACTATGGGGACCTCATTTGCCAGTAAAAATATGATAATTGGTTCTTTACCCTTCTATCTGGCAACAAAACTGACACCTTTTTGCAAGGAGTCATGTTTGCATAGACCGCAATACCTGCAGTCATAATACAAACAAAAGAACATAACTCTGATAATGTGCACTGTCCTTGAAGTTGATTGGTCCACACCCGAGACAGCTTTCCTTCGAGCCTAGTCTCATATGGGTTGGACCAGATGACGTGAAAAGGCGCCTTTTATCGGAGTTGTGTTTTTTGTTTGCATTATTTTTTTTTTACAAGGAGTCAATTATATTTTTACTGGCAAATGAGGTTCCCGTAGTGTAGATGCTTGCCCCGAGCTCTCATACTCTGATGGTGCATTGTCTTTGAGTTGTGCGCCTTTTGGCGTCATCTGGTCCAACCCATATGAGACTAGGCTCGAAGGAAAGCTGTCTCGGGTGTGGACCAATCAACTTCAAGGACAGTGCACATTATCAGAGTTATGTTCTTTTGTTTGTATTATGACTGCAGGTATTGCGGTCTATGCAAACATGACTCCTTGCAAAAAGGTGTCAGTTTTGTTGCCAGATAGAAGGGTAAAGAACCAATTATCATTATGATATGGGGGGTGGTAAGGGGAGGGGCCTAAGGGAAGGGGGGTCAGGGGAGGGGCCTAAGGATATGGGGGGGGTGGTCAGGGGAGGGGGGGTCAGTGGAGGGGCCTGAGGGAGGGGGGGTCAGGGGAGGGGCCTAAGGAAGGGGGAGGGGCCGATAGTTAAGGGGGCTGGCTACCTGGCTGGCTGCCTGGCTACCTCAAGTCAAGTTATCTTGTACACAGGTAGGAACAACAGGTTCCACACTGCCCACCAGGGATTATTTGTCTGTCTGTCGTGCATATTTGTCTGTCGTGCATGAATGCGCTGTCCAACCAAGTTCCTACCTGCCCACTCCGAAGGAACGTGTTTTGTTTGTCTGTCTGTCTGCGTAAGCGCGCTTGCGAAAATTAGCCGGGTACCACGTCGTAAGCCTCGTGCTTGGCATAGGCTATTCCTTTTCCATGTCCGTCACCTTTAAATTAGTTAAAATAGCGTTTTTGTGCACGGGCGTTGCCCCTGGCAACGCATGCGCGTCATCAGTGGATGGTGGGGGGGATTTCTCCTTCGCGTTCAAAATGCAAAAAAATACACGCGTTGCTGATGTAAATTCATCAAAGTGTCATGTTCTCTTCTTTCCCTTTCCCCCCCTCACCCCAATGTGTACACTGACTACTATAGGGTCGGTAGATACTAATATTATAGCGCTTAGATAGTATTATTGTAGCGCGGGCGGGGGTAGCGTCCAAGCACCCAGCCTCGGCTGGCTGGGCAATCTAGGCGAGGCCGGGAGCTTTGCACTGGACTAGGCCTTACCACGGCACTCTGTCAAGTGAGTACTTTGTGCTGTAGAGTCGATATATACTGATATAGAGTCCGCATTGTACTACTTTAGTGATATCAGGTACCACCATAGTCGGTATGCACTGCTGTGGTGAAAGCAGGTACCACCACAGTCGGTATGCGCTGCTGTAGTGATAGCAGGTACCACCACAGTCAGTATGCACTGCTGTAATGGTAGCAGGTAACACCACAGTCGGTATGCCCTGCTGTAGTGAAACCAGGTACCACCACAGTCACTAGGCACTGCTGTAGTTAAAGCAGTAACTACCATAGTCAGTATGCACTCCTGTTGTGATAGCAGGTACCACCAGTCAGTATGCACTACTGTAGTGATAGTAGATACTGCTATCGAGTTGGTAGATACTGGTATATAGAGTTAGTAGATACTAAAACAGTCAGTATATACCACTACAGTCAGCCAATACTGCTACAGTCAGTAGATACTACTACTACTGCGGTCAGTAGCTACTAGAATCAGTAGATACTACTATAGAGTGAGTAGTTACTACTACAGTGAGGGAAAAAAGTATTTGATCCCCTGCTGATTTTGTACGTTTGCCCACTGACAAAGAAATGATAAGTCTATAATTTTAATGCTAGAAAAACGCATGTCAAAAATGTTATAAATTGATTTACATTTAAATGAGGGAAATAAGTATTTGACCCCTCTGCAAAACATGACTTAGTACTTGGTGGCAAAACCCTTGTTGACAATCACAGAGGTCAGACGTTTCTTGCAGTTGGCCACCAGGTTTGCACACATCTCAGGAGGGATTTTGTCCCACTCCTCTTTGCAGATCTTCTCCAATTCATTAAGGTTTCGAGGTTGACGTTTGGCAACTCGAACCTTCAGCTCCTCCACAGATTTTCTATGGGATTAATGTCTGGAGACTGGCTAGGCTACTCCAGGACCTTAATGTGCTTCTTCTTGAGCCACTCCTTTGTTGCCTTGGCCGTGTGTTTTGGGTCATTGTCATGCTGGAATACCCATCCACGACCCATTTTCAATGCCCTGGCTGAGGGAAGGAGGTTCTCACCCAAGATTTGACGGTACATGGCCCTTTGATGCGATGAAGTTGTCCTGTCCCCTTAGCAGAAAAACACCCCCAAAGCATAATGTTTCCACCTTCATGTTTGACGGTGGGGATGGTGTTCTTGGGGTCATAGGCGGCATTACTCCTCCTCCAAACACGGCGAGTTGAATTGATGCCAAAGAGCTCCATTTTGGTCTCATCTGACCACAACACTTTCACCCAGTTGTCCTCTGAATCATTCAGATGTTCATTGGCAAACTTCAGACGAGCATGTATATGTGATTTCTTGAGCAGGAGGACCTTGCGGGTGCTGCAGGATTTCAGTCCTTCATTGCATAGTGTGTTACCAACTGTTTTCTTGGTGACTATGGTCCCAGATGCCTTAAAATCATTGTCAAGATCCTCCCGTGTAGTTCTGGGCTGATTCCTCACAGTTATCATGATCATAGCAACTCCACGAGGTGAGTTCTTGCATGGAGCCCCAGGCCGAGGGAGATTGACAGTTCTGTTGTGTTTTTTTCTATTTGCGAATAATCGCACCAACTGTTGTCACCTTCTCACCAAGCTACTTGGCGATGGTCTTGTAGCCCATTCCAGCCTTGTGTAGGTCTACAATCTTGTCCCTGACATCCTTGGAGAGCTCTTTGGTCTTGGCCATGGTGGAGAGTTTGGAATCTGATTGATTGATTGCTTCTGTGAACAGGTGTCTTTTATACAGGTAACAAGCTGAGATTAGGAGAACTCCGTTTAAGAGTGTGCTCCTAATGTCAGTTCGTTACCTGTATAAAAGACACCTAGGAGCCATAAATCTTTCTGATTGAGAGGGGGTCAGATACTTATTTCCCTCATTAAAATGCAAATCAATTTATAACATTTTTGACATGCGTTTTTCTGAATTTTGTTGTTGTTATTCTGTATCTCACTGTTCAAGTAAACCTACCATTAAAATTATAGACTGATAATTTCTTTGTCAGTGGGCAAACGTACAAAATCAGCAGGGGATAAAATACTTTTTCCCTCACTGTATATACTACACTATATACAATTAGAACACACTAAACTACTATATACTACTACATTTCAGTTCAGTTTCATTTATTAGGTATAGCCCTGTGAGCCATGAGGCTCTTGACTCGGGTGCAGCCGCAACAAACAAAAACATGAACAAAGAACATCTTAAAGCGACGATGCGCAACAGAAACATCCAGAAAAAAACAGTAAAATCTTCCAGAAAAAAAAGCACCGTATATCAACGCTGTGTGCAAAAATCCCAATGGGATGCAAGTCGAACAATAATAACCATAAGACAATTTAGATAAAGTTAGCAGGCTAACTCCGTACTTCAACAAACAAACATAGCTTACAACACGCTACACCACTATATACTACTCCACTACTATTTACTATACCACTCCACTACTATACACTACTACACCACTATATACTACACTGTACACTACTGTTTACTATACCACTCTACTACTATACACTACTACACAACTATATACTACACTGTACACTACTATACACTACTGTATACACTACACTACTATATATTACACTACTAAAAAGTACACTACTTCACACTACTCTATACACTACATAACAATTATCATACACTATCACACAACATCACCATCACACAGCATCACGATCAAGCAGCGTCATCACAGCGTCACCACATAAGTGATCACGTGGAGGCGTGGTGACGTCATCGTTTACCTGCGCCGAAAATCCACCAGCTGGTCGACTTCTCCTTCTCTGTATGGGGGAGTTGCACAGAGAGGTTAGTTCTACATACTCACACACAGATATACACAGTATACACTATATACTACTACACACTACTACACTACTATATATATAGTACTACAATACTATATACTACTACACACTACACTAGTATATTATACTACTAGACTACAACACACTGCACAACTGTATTCGACTACACACTATAATATACTACACTACTGTATGCTACACTATACACTACCACACACTACACACCACTGCACACTCTACTACTATATACTACACTACTATACACTGATACACTATATACTTATACAAACTAAACTAACATATCATCCACTACTATAATGTATACTACACTACTATCCACTACTAGATACGACACTATACAATACACTACTACACTATATACTACACTACTATACACTACAACACCCTCCACTACTATACACTGCACTACGCACTACATTAGTCACACTACACTACTATAGACTACACTGCTATATACTACACTATACCAGTGGCGGCTCCTGCAAAATCTCTCAGGGGGGGCAAATGTCTGGATGATTGATAAGGATAAGGTCCACCCATGTAATGGATAAATTAACAGCTTAAGCATGTAAAGGCAACTTCACTTCTTTAATATTAATGAAAAATAAAGTGACTCTTACAATACATCTTGTTTGTTTATATACTCACTATTAAAACAAACCACTCAAGTTTATTTTATTAAAGATTCCACTAGGTAGCGATAAATTGTATTGTTGGATGAAACGTGCTTACGTATGATGACGTAAGCACGTATGATGACGTAAGCACGTTAGGGCATGCCCTCCCGGAAGCCATAGAGAATGCATTGCAGCGCCCCCGTTCGAAAAAAAACATCTTTGAATGTAAGTCTATGGGGCCACTCAGGGCGATTCTCAGCCGGAGTGAAATCGCCCCAAAAGAGGCGGTACTCCACAGAACGTGACATGACGCTGATTGGACTATATCCAGAGGCTGACAGTGACGGCTAGCGTGACTGTGGTTGAATGACATTGGTGGTGCGTCGCCCAATCGCCCTAATGAAGAAACCGCCCCTGCACTATACAGTACTACACACGACACTACACACTACTGCATCACCATCACACACCATCACCATTAAACAGCATAACCATCAAGCAGCGTCATCACAGAGTCACCACAGAAGCGATCACGTGGAATGGATAGGAGGAATACGGTTTTGAACGAGGATCGACCAGGGGAAAGAAAGAGAGGATCAGTTAGAGGGGAAGGAGAGGGACTGACTCAGAGAGAAACTAGGACAAAAGTTTCTAGGAAGGGAGCTCAAGGAGTATTAAAGGGGAGAGTACGAGGAGTGGGGACGTTTGGAGGAAATTACAAACTGAAGACAAAAGCACGAAGCGCTAGGGTCCCTTATTGTGGCTGTGACCCAATGAAGTGTCTCTCATTTCATCGTCGTCAGAGTCGTTACATATACACTACACTATACACTACTATACACTACTACATTACTATATACTACAACACACTACACTACTATATACTGCTCCACTACTATTTACTATATTACTACACAACTATATACTACTGCACTACAACTCTACTATATACTACACTGTACACTACTATAACACGCTACACTACTATACACTCCTACATTACTATATACTACAACACATTACACTACTATATACTACTCCACTACTATTTAATATACTACTACACTATAGTAGTAGGTTTTTACCCTTTTAAACTGGTACAAAACTGACACCTTTATTCAAGGCATCATGTTTGCAATAACCACAACACAAGTAGTCAAAAAAGCAAACAAAAAGCAGCAACTCTGATAATGATAATGATATGCACTGTCCTTGAAGTTGATTGGTCCACTACACTACTATACACTACCAGACTACAACACAACTATATACGACACTGTACACTACAATACACTACACTATACACTACACCATCACACACCATCACCATCGCACAGCGTCATCGCAGCATCACCACAAAAGCGATCACGTGGAGGCGGGGTGACGTCAAAGTTTACCTGGACAGAAATTCCACCAGTTGGTCGACTTCTTCTCTGTATGGAGGAGTTGCACAGACAGGTTAGTTCTACTTACTCACACATATATATATACACTACTAGGGGAAATTACCCGGCGTTGCCCGAGCAAAAAAGACAGACACACACATCGACTTAAATTTCGATTTAAAGCTTTCGTGACTGCAGGGATTCATCTTCTTGGTTCTTTCGGTAAAGTCACGTAGAAGGGAAGTAATAAAATAATAAAAATAAAACATAATAAAACAATTCTCACGACGTTTCGGCCACAACGCAAGCAGCCGTCCTCAGGTGAAAACCAGGTCCGTCTGTCGCCTCGACGGACCTGGTTTTCACCTGAGGACGGCTGCTTGCGTTGTGGCCGAAACGTCGTAAGAATTGTTTTATTATGTTTTATTTTTATTATTTTATTACTTCCCTTCTACGTGACTTTACCGAAAGAACCAAGAAGACACATCGACTTACACACACTTACGGACATTGACCCACACACACAAACACATCAACTTACACACACTTACAGACATTGACCCACACACACAAACAATCAACTTACACACACTTACAGACATTGACCCACACACACAAACAAATCGACTTACACACACTTACAGACATTGACCCACACACACAAACACATCTACTTACACACACTTACAGACATTGACCCACACACACAAACACATCAACTTACACACACTTACAGACATTGACCCACACACACAAACAAATCGACTTACACACACTTACAGACATTGACCCACACACACAAACACATCTACTTACACACACTTACAGACATTGACCCACACACACAAACAAATCGACTTACACACACTTACAGACATTGACCCACACACACAAACACATCTACTTACACACACTTACAGACATTGACCCACACACACAAACACATCAACTTACACACACTTACAGACATTGACCCACACACACAAACATATCGACTTACACACGCACATATCGACTCACTCACACAGACATTGACTTTAGATACACACACATGGAGTTACACACATATCGACGTACACACATACAGCGACTCACACACACAAATGGACTTACAAACACACGTGGACACACACACACACATCGACACAGACACGCACATCGACTCACATGGACTTAGACACACACATAAATATTAGAAAATGTACTAACAAAATTTGAAATAATTAGTTGTCTACACACACAGACCATGCACACACATTGACTAACACACACATCAAATGGCACACACATATCAACTCACACGCACACATGGACTTAGACACGCATTATTACGTAAAAAGTGTAATAACCTAACAGTTAAATATTAGTTGTGTACACACACACACACGCACCACGCACACACATTCACTAACACACACACATCGACTGACACACAGATATATCAACTCATGTACACACACATCGACTCACACACACACACACGGACGTAGACACACACACACATGGTGGCAGACACGCACATGGACTCACACGCACACAAGGACTTAGACACAATAAAAAAGATATTAATAGTGACCAAGTAAATTTCGATTTAAAGCTTTCGTGACTGCAGGGATTCATCTTCTTGGTTTTTTCGGTAAAGTCACGTAGAAGGGAAGTAATAAAATAATAAAAATAAAATATAAAATAATTCTCACGACGTTTCGGCTACAACGCAAGCAGCCGTCTTCAGGTGAAGAATGAGAAGAAGGAGTGACTAAGTAAATTTAGATATATTAGTTGTCAGCACACAAAAAATATTAATCTAATATTTGCAAGGAGATATATAAAAAAATAGGTTTCTATCAACGTGAGGTGACACAATAATAAAAATATTAATAATGAGCACGTTAATAAAAAAAATATTAGTTGTGAGCACACGTACAAATATATTTGAATATTTCGAAGATGATTATTTAAATAACAGGTTTCTATGTGCGTGAGTTTAGCGAATGAAGTAAGGAATTCATCTTCTTGGTTCTTATTATTTTATTATTTCCCTTCTACGTGACTTTACCGAAAGAACCAAGAAGATGAATCCCTGCAGTCACGAAAGCTTTAAATCGAGAAGTAAGGAATATAAATATTATTTTGCTGCACAGAAACATAATTTATGTAACATTTACAAGGTGAGTATTTAAACATGGTTTCTGTCAACGTGAGTTGACACAATAATTAATATATTAATAATGGCCAAGTTAAATCATAAATATTAGTTGTGAGCACACAAAAACTAAAATTTGAACATTTCCAAGGTGATTATTAAAGTAACAGGTTTCTATGTACGTGAGTTTAGCGAAAGAATCAAGGAAGATCAATATAAGTTGTCTGCACACAAACATTACTAATGTAATATTTGCAAGGTGATTACTGTATTAAAAAAGAGGTTTCTATCAACGTGAGTTGACACGATAATAAGTGTATTAATAATGACCAAGTTAATAAAAAAATATTAGTTGTGAGCACACAAACAAAAATATTTGAATATGTGCAAGGTGATTATGAAAATAATAGTTTTCTATGTACGTGAGTTTAGAGAAAGAAGCAAGGAATATAAATATTAGTTGTCAGCACACAAACATTATTGATGTAATATTTCCAAGGTGATTATTGAACAAGGAGGTTGCTATATTCTTGGTTATTTCGGTAAACTCACGTAGAAGGGAAATAATAAAATAATATAAATATGAAACAATAAAAATTCTCACGACGTTTCGACTGCAACGCAAGCAATCATCATCAGGTGTGAAATCCACAGCAAGAAAATTTTAAAAACATTTTTTTAAAAAAAGTTCTAATTTTCTTGCTGTGGATTTCACACCTGATGATGATTGCTTGTGTTGCAGTCGAAACGTCGTGAGAATTTTTATTGTTTCATATTTATATTATTTTATTATTTCCCTTCTACGTGAGTTTACGGAAATAACCAAGAATATGAATCCCTGTAGTCACGAAAGCTTTAAATCAAGGGAAGTTGCTATCAAGGTGAGTTGACACATCTATATAAAAGTCAAAAATTGTGGCGGGGTTTGTGGGGTTGTGGCTCTCCAACGGTGGGGTTTATGTAACCAAAAAAAATAACCCGTAAAAACTAAGTTTTTCACTATAAATCCTTTATATGAGTGGCATCGGTTTTATTTTATTATTAATTTCTGTTTTTCTTGAGTAAGAGTTTCATTTTTATCACATTGGTATTTTAAATTAAATATAAGGAAAGTCGTATATAAGGATTATAAGGTTTTCATTTTTTGTATGATTGTTTATATTGTACATTTTTGTTTTTTTCTTGAATAATTTTCTGTGTTTAAGAAAAATATATGATTGTGTTAGTGAAAAATTTTTTTTCTCCTAAAAAGTGGAAAATTTTGGAAAAAAAATTTCACGACAATAAATTGTCACGCACAACGAGTCTGTGTGCAAAATGTCAGCTCGATTGGGTCACGGGAAGTGGGTTAAAAAACGACCGAAAGATTTGCACGGTCGTAAGCGCGCAAGCAAGCAAGCAAGTGAACTTAATATAAAGGATTTTAAAAAATTAACCCGTAAAAACAAAGTTTTTCACTATAAATCCTTTATATGCGTGGCGGCTAGAGTCCTCTCGTCCTCTGGCTTGAGATGGCTGCCACCTGTGGGTCAGATAATTGCCTGCCACCATTAAGCAATTGGTAATTAAATATAAAAATAAATCCTAAAAGTGTAAAATTTTGGAAAAAAAATTCACGAAAATAAATTGTCACGCACAACGAGTCTGTGTGCAAAATGTCAGCTCGATTGGATCACGGGGAAGTGGGTTAAAAAACGACCGAAAGATTTGCACGGTCGTAAGCAAGCAAGCAAGTGAACTTAATATAAAGGATTTAAAAAGGGGAGAGCACGAGGAGTGGGGACGTTCGGAGGAAATTACAAACTGAAGACAAAAGCACGAAGCGCTAGGGTCCCTTATTGTGGCTGTGTCCCAAGAAAGTGTCTCTCATCACATCGTCGTCAGAGTCGTTACTACTTTAGTGACATAGGACGTCACTTCTGTGTCGGCCCGTACGAGGGCTGGGGGCCCCAAGGGGGTGGCCTGGGGGGTCACGTGGTGGAGGGACCCAGACCTCCCGTGAGGTGGGGGAAGGGAGGCGTCGCCTGTGCAGGGAGGCGTGGCCTGGGAAGGGGGCATGGCCTGTGAAGGGGGCGTGGCCTGTGAAGGGGGCGTGGCCTGGGAAGGGGGCGTGGCCTGGGAAGGGAGGCGTGGCCTGGGAAGGGGGCGTGGCCTGGGAAGGGGGCATGGCCTGTGCAGGGGGGCGTGGCCTGGGAAGGGGGCGTGGCCTGGGAAGGGGGCGTGGCCTGTGAAGGGAGGCGTGGCCTGGGAAGGGGGCGTGGCCTGGGAAGGGGGCGTGGCCTGGGAAGGAGGCGTGGCCTGGGAAGGGGGCGTGGCCTGGGAAGGGGGCGTGGCCTGGGAAGGAGGCGTGGCCTGGGAAGGAGGCGTGGCCTGGGAAGGAGGCGTGGCCTGGGAAGGAGGCGTGGCCTGGGAAGGAGGCGTGGCCTGGGAAGGGGGCGTGGCCTGGGAAGGGGGCGTGGCCTGTGCAGGGGGCGTGGCCTGTGCAGGGGGCGTGGCCTGGGAAGGGGGCGTGGCCTGGAAGGGGGCGTGGCCTGTGAAGGGGGCGTGGCCTGGGAAGGGGGCGTGGCCTGTGAAGGGGGCGTGGCCTGGGAAGGGGGCGTGGCCTGTGAAGGGGGCGTGGCCTGGGAAGGGGGCGTGGCCTGTGAAGGGAGGCGTGGCCTGTGAAGGGAGGCGTGGCCTGGGAAGGGAGGCGTGGCCTGGGAAGGGAGGCGTGGCCTGGGAAGGGAGGCGTGGCCTGGGAAGGGGGCGTGGCCTGTGCAGGGAGGCGTGGCCTGTGCAGGGAGGCGTGGCCTGTGCAGGGAGGCGTGGCCTGGGAAGGGGGCGTGGCCTGGGAAGGGGGCGTGGCCTGTGCAGGGAGGCGTGGCCTGGGAAGGGGGCGTGGCCTGGGAAGGGAGACGTGGCCTGGGAAGGGGGCGTGGCCTTGCAGGGAGGCGTGGCCTGGGAAAGGGGCGTGGCCTGGGAAGGGGGCGTGGCCTGGGAAGGGGGCGTGGCCTTGCAGGGAGGCGTGGCCTGGGAAGGGGGCGTGGCCTGTGAAGGGGGCGTAGGCCTGGGAAGGGGGCGTGGCCTTGCAGGGAGGCGTGGCCTGTGAAGGGGGCGTGGCCTGGGCAGGGGGGCGTGGCCTGTGCAGGGTATATAAGCGGGGTGTGAACGCTGAGCGAGGCTGTTGAACTCCGAAGTGAAGACGACATCATTGGTCCTCAAGTCCCGGGTCGTCGTTCTGGACCAGGCAGCCCGTCGCCTGCCTGGTCCACTCTGTGTCGTGTTCCCAGAGTGTTAGCGAGTTGAGGAAGGTGGTCACCACCTCATGTACGGTGTTATATTACTTACCGTTTAATAAATAGTGTTGCCTCCAAGCTGTGTGTGTGCACCTAATACTGAACCCATTACACAAATACACTACACTATACTATTATAACACACTACACTACTATTTACTCCTACATTACGATGTACTACAACACATTAGTATATAGTAGTGTACTACTATATACTACTCCACTACTATTTACTATACTACTACACTACTATACACTACCACACTACAACACACCTATATACGACACTGTACACTACAATACACTACACTATACACTCCACAACTATATACTACACTGTACACTACAATACACTACACTATACACTACACCATCACACACCATCACCATCACACAGCGTCATCGCAGCATCACCACACAAGCGATCACGTGGAGGCGGGGTGACGTCAAAGTTTACCTGGACAGAAATTCCACCAGTTGGTCGACTTCTTCTCTGTGTGGGGGAGTTGCACAGAGAGTTTAATTCTACATACTCACATACACAGATATACACAGTATCTTATATATAAAAGGCATTTTTTGTTTGTCTGTCTGTCTGCGTAAGCACGCTTGCGAAGGATTTGGCTCGTAAACCATGAGGTTTACGTAAAAAGATTAGCCGGGTACCACGTCGTAAGCCTCGTGCTTGGCATAGGCTACATTATTCCAAACTACACTACTATATACTACACTATACACTACTACACACTACTGCATCACCATCACACACCATCCCCATTAGAGAGCATCACCATCAAGCAGCATCATCGCAGCGTCACCACACAAGTGATCACGTGGAGACGTCATCATTTACCTGCGCCGAAAATCCACCAGTTGGTCGACTTCTTCTCTGTATGGAGGAGTTGCACAGACAGGTTAGTTCTACTTACTCACACATATATATATACACTACTAGTGGGAATTACCCGGCGTTGCCCGAGCGAAAAAGACAGACACACACATCGACTTACACACACTTACGGACGTTGACCCCACACACACAAACATATCGACTTACACACACTTACGGACATTGACCCACACACACAAACACATCTACTTACACACACTTACAGACATTGACCCACACACACAAACATATCGACTTACACACACTTACAGACATTGACCCACACACACAAACACATCAACTTACACACACTTACAGACATTGACCCACACACACAAACATATCGACTTACACACACACATATGGACTCACTCACACAGACATTACTTTAGATACACACACATGGAGTTACACACACATGTCGACGTACACACATACAGCGACTCGCACACACAAATAGACTTACAAACACACATGGACTCACACACACATCGACTCACACACACATCGATGCAGACACACACATCGACTCACATGGACTTAGACACACACATAAATATTAGAAAATGTACTAACAAAATTTGAAATAATTAATTGTCTACACACACAGACCATGCACACACATTGACTAACACACACACACACATCAAATGGCACACACATCAACTCACACGCACACTAATGGATTCACACGCACACATGGACTTAGACACGCATTATTACGTAAAAAGTGTAATAACCTAACAGTTAAATATTAGTTTAACACGTAGGCTTTCGCGACCAATGTTATTCATAATCAACGATTTTTGGGTTTAGATCGCGTTTATTTATAAATGTGTCGTAACCCTCCACCACCCGACACGGCCAATCAGTAAAAAATGTGTCACGTTGACAAAGACAAATAGTTCACTGCTTTAGCCCACCGGTGTGTTGAAGCAACAACATTCACAATTTGAGTACGACGTTTCGCTGGTAATTACAACCAGCATCATCGGGCAATTCGCCAGAATGGTGAGGCTCTCCTGTGTCTCCCGTTCTTATATAGAGCAGCAGCAGGATGACGTCATCATTAACTCATTAACTCATCAGGTGCAAAGATTCAAGGGGGGAGTGATTGTAATTATATACTAGATTAGTAATCAGGCTATTGTTACGATGCGAGTTGTAGATTAGTAATCATTTGGAATGTGTTTTATTGTGATTATGCTACATTAGTAATCTGTTAGTGGTTGTTTCCCTTATATTATTAGCGTATTATTAAATAAGATACATTACAATTACTTATAAGGGAAACAACCACTAACAGATTACTAATGTAGCATAATCACAATAAAACACATTCCAAATGATTACTAATCTACAACTCGCATCGTAACAATAGCCTGATTACTAATCTAGTATATAATTACAATCACTCCCCCCTTGAATCTTTGCACCTGATGAGTTAATGAGTTAATGATGACGTCATCCTGCTGCTGCTCTATATAAGAACGGGAGACACAGGAGAGCCTCACCATTCTGGCGAATTGCCCGATGATGCTGGTTGTAATTACCAGCGAAACGTCGTACTCAAATTGTGAATGTTGTTGCTTCAACACACCGGTGGGCTAAAGCAGTGAACTATTTGTCTTTGTCAACGTGACACATTTTTTACTGATTGGCCGTGTCGGGTGGTGGAGGGTTATGACACATTTATAAATAAACGCGATCTAAACCCAAAAATCGTTGATTATGAGTTAAATATTAGTTGTGTACACACACACACGCACCACGCACACACATTCACTAACACACACACACACATCGACTGACACACAGATATGTAGGACCTGAAATACACGCGCCACGCGCTCTGTGGGTCTGTTGCTAGGCAGACAAGCAAGTGGACAGTGGGGGTATTTGAGGACGAGGTTGTTGTTGCTGAGGCGTGAGAGGAGACACGTTAAGTGGCATAACAGGTGTTAAGGGCAACCGGGGACACAGGCCGGTGATTGGTTAAGAGGGTGAGTGATTAACGAGTGGCGCCGCTCTGGCGGCAATAACAAAGTCACGTGAGGCTGGGGGCCTGGGGGCCGAGGGGTAATCGGGGGGTGAGATAATTAATAAGGACTAATTGGGGTGGATATAAAAGGCACAGCAACGGGGAGCTTTTGTGGAAGTCTTGGTCGGAGTCTTGGTGAAAGCTGGAGCGATGGGGAGCTGGAGTGATGGTGCCCGGAATAGCGGAGAGCAGGAGTAAGAGAATACGATAACGGTAGCAGTGGGGAGAGAGATAGGTCAAGCACGGTAGCAGCGGATAGAGGAGACAGAGTGAGTGGTAGCAGTGGTAGCACAGTGCATCAGAGAAGATACGGAGCAGGGTAGCAGCGGAGCGACGGACCCTGGGAGAGCTGGAGAGAGAACGGAGGGACATAGAGCGCGTTGATGGCGGATGGCGTGGCGGAGCGAAAGGGTGGCCACGGAGGGGTGATGAGGAGAAGGTGTGGACCTTGAGCAAATTAACGGGACGAGAAAGACAATCCGAGTACGAGTCCTACAGATATATCAACTCATGTACACACACATCGACTCGCACACACATTGACTGATACACACACACAGGGACGTAGTCACACACACATGGTGACAGACACGCACATGGACCCACACGCACACAAGGACTTAGACACAATAAAAAATATATTAATAGTGACCAAGTAAATTTAGATATATTATTTGTCAGCAAAAAAAATATTAATCTAATATTTGCAAGGAGATATATACAAAAAATAGGTTTCTATCAACGTGAGGTGACACAATAATAAATATATTAATAATGAGCACGTTAATAAAAAAAATATTAGTTGTGAGCACACGTACAAATATATTTGAATATTTCGAAGATGATTATTTAAATAACAGGTTTCTATGTGCGTGAGTTTAGCGAATGAAGTAAGGAATTAATCTTCTTGGTTCTTATTATTTTATTATTTCCCTTCTACGTGACTTTACCGAAAGAACCAAGAAGATGAATCCCTGCAGTCACGAAAGCTTTAAATCGAGAAGTAAGGAATATAAATATTATTTTGCTGCACAGAAACATAATTTATGTAATATTTACAAGGTGAGTATTTAAACATATGGTTTCTGTCAACGTGAGTTGACACAATAATTAATATATTAATAATGGCCAAGTTAAATCATAAATATTAGTTGTGAGCACACAAAAACTAAAATTTGAACATTTCCAAGGTGATTATTAAAGTAACAGGTTTCTATGTACGTGAGTTTAGCGAAAGAATCAAGGAAGATCAATATTAGTTGTCTGCACACAAACATTACTAATGTAATATTTGCAAGGTGATTACTGTATTAAAAAAGAGGTTTCTATCAACGTGAGTTGACACGATAATAAGTGTATTAATAATGACCAAGTTAATTAAAAAATATTAGTTGTGAGCACACAAACAAAAATATTTGAATATGTGCAAGGTGATTATGAAAATAACAGTTTTCTATGTACGTGAGTTTAGAGAAAGAAGCAAGGAATATAAATATTAGTTGTCAGCACACAAACATTATTGATGTAATATTTCCAAGGTGATTATTGAACAAGGAGGTTGCTATATTCTTGGTTATTTCGGTAAACTCACGTAGAAGGGAAATAATAAAATAATATAAATATGAAACAATAAAAATTCTCACGACGTTTCGACTGCAACACAAGCAATCATCATCAGGTGTGAAATCCACAGCAAGAAAATTAGAAATGTTTTAAATTTAATTTTTGAAATTTTCTTGCTGTGGATTTCACACCTGATGATGATTGCTTGTGTTGCAGTCGAAACGTCGTGAGAATTTTTATTGTTTCATATTTTTATTATTTTATTATTTCCCTTCTACGTGAGTTTACCGAAATAACCAAGAATATGAATCCCGGTAGTCACGAAAGCTTTAAATCAAAGGAAGTTGCTATCAAGGATGAGTTGACACATCTATATAAAAGTCAAAAATTGTGGCGGGGTTTGTGGGTTTGTGGCTCTCCAACGGTGGAGTTTATGTAACCAAAAAAATTAACCCGTAAAAACTAAGTTTTTCACTATAAATCCTTTATATGAGTGGCATCGGTTTTATTTTATTATTCATTTCTGTTTTTCTTGAGTAAGAGTTTCATTTCTATCACATTGGTATTTTAAATTAAATATTAGGAAAGTCGTATATAAGGATTATAAGGTTTTCAGTTTTTGTATGATTGTTTATATTGTACATTTTTGTTTTTTTCTTGAATAATTTTCTGTGTTTAAGAAAAATATATGATTGTGTTAGTGAAATTTTTTTTTTCCTAAAAAGTGGAAAATTTTGGAAAAAAAATTTCACGACAATAAATTGTCACGCACAACGAGTCTGTGTGCAAAATGTCAGCTCGATTGGGTCACGGGAAGTGGGTTAAAAAACGACCGAAAGATTTGCACGGTCGTAAGCGTGCAAGCAAGCAAGCAAGCGAACTTAATATAAAGGATTTAAAAAAATTAACCCGTAAAAACAAAGTTTTTCACTATAAATCCTTTATATGCGTGGCGGCTAGAGTCCTCTCGTCCTCTGGCTTGAGATGGCTGCCACCTATGGGTCAGATGATTATCTGCCACCATTAAGCAATTGGTAATTAAATATTTTAAAAAAATTCCCTAAAAAGTGTAAAATTTTTGAAATTTTTTTTTAACGAAAATTCATTGTCACACACAACGAGTCTGTGTGCAAAATGTCAGCTCGATTGGATCACGGGAAGTGGGTTAAAAAACGACCGAAAGATTTGCACGGTCGTAAGCAAGCAAGCAAGTGAACTTAATATAAAGGATTTAAAAATAGCCAGGCACCACGCCGTAAGCCCCGCGGTGAGCAAGCGCTATTCCTTTTTCACATCGTCTGACCTCTGTGATTGCGAACAAGGGTTTTGCCACCAAGTACTAAGTCATGTTTTGCAGAGGGGGTCAAATACTTATTTCCCTCATTAAAATGCAAATCAATTTATAACATTTTTGACATGCGTTTTTCTGGATTTCTTTGTTGTTATTCTGTCTCTGTTCAAATAAACCTACCATTAAAATTATAGACTGATCATTTCTTTGTCAGTGGGCAAACGTACAAAATCAGCAGGGGATCAAATACTTTTTTCCCTCACTGTACATCTACAAACTACACTAATATATCCTACACTACTATACTGTACACTACACTACTATCCACTACTAGATACTACACTATACAATACACTACTACATAATATACTACACTATATACTACACTACTATACACTACAACACACTGCACTACAATATACTGCACTATGCACTACATTATTCCACACTACACTACTATATACTACACTATACACTACTACACACTACTGCATCACCATCACCATTAGAGAGCATCGCCATCATACAGCGTCATTGCAGCGTCACCACACAAGTGATCACGTGGTGAGGTCATCGTTTACCTGCGCAGAAATTCCACCAGTTGGTCGTCTTCTCCTCCTCTGTGTGAGGTAGTTGCACAGAGCGGTTAGTTCTATATACTCACATATATAGACACTATACACGACTATATATTCTACTACTACATACTACTAAACTACTATATACTAAATTTCGAGTTAAAGCTTTCGTGACTGCAGGGATTCATCTTCTTGGTTATTTCGGTAAAGTCACGTAGAATGGAAATAATAAAATAATAAAAATAAAACTGAATAAAGTACTTTATTCATAATAAAATAATAAAAATAAAACATAATAAAGTAATTTATTATGTTTTATTCATATTTCTTTATTATTTCCATTCTACGTGACTTTACCGAAATAACCAAGAAGATACTATATACTACTATATGCTACACTACTATATACTACTACACTACTAAATACTGCTACACAATACACTACTATATACTACTATCTGGCAACAAAACTGACACCTTTTGACAAGGAGTCATGTTTGCATAGACCACAATACCTGCAGTCATAATGCCAACAAAAAAACACAACTCTGATAATGTGCACTGTCCTTGAAGTTGATTGGTCCACACCCGAGACAGCTTTCCTTAGAGCCTAGTCTCACATGGGTTGGACCAGATGACGCCAAAAGGCGCACAACTCAAAGACATCTACACTACGGGAACCTCATTTGCCAGTAAAAATATAATTGACTCCTTGTAAAAATGTGTCAGTTTTGTTGCCAGATATAAGGGTAAAAAACCAATAATCATATTTTTACTGGCAAATGAGTTTCCCATAGTGTATATACACACGAAACTACTACACACTACACACTGCACGACTTCACAATACACTATACACTACACTGTAGGGGTTGCACAGAGCAGAGTGAGGGGAGAGCTTCCTCACACACCTGCGGGTAGCGCGGTCGGCTATGCATGGTGCCACAGAAGTTCTACCGACTTACATATGTAGAACTCGTACTCCCGTTGTCTTTCTCGTTCCGTTTATTCACGCTTCAGACTTCACACCTCCTCCTCCTCATCATCGCTCCGTGTCTCCCCGTTCGCTCCGTTGCACCATCCGCCATCAACGACACTCTAAGTCTCTCCGCTCGCTCCGCTCCGCGATTCCGCTCGCTCTCTCTCCTTCTCTCCCAAGGTATGTTACTCCGCTGCTACCCTACTCTGTACTCCTCCAAAGCACTGCTACCACTGCTACCTTACACTGTATTCTCTCTATCCACTGCTACCGTACTCTGTGTTCTCTCTATCCACTGCTACCGTACTCTGTGTTCTCTCTATCCACTGTTACCCTTATCATATCTATCCCTACTCACTGCTGCTCCTCTCTCCCGGGCACCAATCACTCCAACTCCAACCAAGACTCTCGTCTCTCCGTTACGCTGCGCCTTTTATCCCCGCACCAATCAGTCCCAATCAATTATCTCACCCCCCACTTTGCTACTCGCCCCCAGCCTCACGTGACCTTGTTATTGCCGCCAGAGCGGCGCCGGTCATTAGCTACTCACCCTCCTAACCAATCACCGGCCTGCGTCCTCGGTTACCCCTAACGCCTGTCGCGTCTCTTAACGACGTCTCCCTCATGCCCCGACAACAACAACCCCGTCCTCAGATACCCCCCACTGTACACTGCTCGCTTGCATAGCAACAGAACAACAGAATGCGTGGCGCGTTATATTTCAAGTCCTACACATATATACTACAGATACTACGTTATACTACTATACAATACAGATACTACAGTATATACTACACGATGTACTACTATATGCTACACTATACACTACAATGTACACTACTATAAACGACACTATTATACACTACACTACTGTATATTACTATACTACTAGACATTACACTACTACACACTACACTACTAAATACCACTACACAATACACTACTATATACTACTACACGACTACACAATACACTATACACTACACTGTAGGGGTTGCACAAAGCAGAGTGAGGGGACGGCTCCCTCACACACCTGCTACTAGTTCTCAGTGTATACTACACTGAGAGCTCTCTTTTTTAGACATGCTTGTTGTTGTTGATGTCGTGTTTAGTTTGTTGTTCTTCCCCCGCATCTCCGATTAGCGTGGTTGGCTACGTTCGGTGCAAAAGAAGATCAATATTACTACACACACTACACATACTCCATGATATACTACACTGCTGTACACTAGACACTACACTACTACATGTGAGGGTTGTTCTTTTTTATTAATATGGGAAAGAAAAAGGAGTTCGGATCCATTTTCCCTCCCATGCGATTCCCTCAATAGTAAAGAGTCACCAATGCAGACTTTCAATCAATGCTTTAACTGCGGCATAAATATTGACAATAGCCCAAACCGAAATATGGAGCGAGCCTTAACGAAATTTAGAATGTATTAACTATGCCTAGGGACACTTTGCCCAAGCGCGCAAATCAAGCCGTGGTGGATAATGACTCCACGCATCGACACAGCGCCCCCGTGCGTAGACAAATCACACAGATCACAGAGTACTACCGACTCCTGGACAGCTGGAAGACTGCCTGACTGGCGACGCCGAGATGGTGAAGACGGAGACGGCGGCGAAGTCTCCAGCAGCGCGACGGGGAATCCCACTCCACACGACAGCCCTGAGCTCCCCTCCCGGGGCCCCTCATATACTTTCTAGATTTGAAGCTTTCGTGACTGCAAGGATTCATATTCTTAGGTTTGTTTTTAAATCCTTAAAAATTAAGTTCACTTGCTTGCTTGCTTGCGTGCTTACGACTGTGCAAATCTTTCGGTCGTTTTTTAACCCACTTCCCGTGATCCAATCGAGCTGACATTTTGCACACAGACTTGTTGTGCGTGACAATTTATTTTCGTGAAAAAAATTCCAAAATTTTACACTTTTTAGGAAAAAATAAATAATATTTAATTACCAATTGCTTAATGGTGGCAGGCAATCATCTGACCCATAGGTGGCAGCCATCTCAAGCCAGAGGACGAGAGGACTCTAGCCGCCACGCATATAAAGGATTTAGAGTGAAAAACTTTGTTTTTACGGGTTAATTTTACTTTTTTTCGGTAAAGTCACGTAGGTAAAAAATAAAAATTAATAAAAGTAAAATAAAAATAAAATAAAAATCACGACGTTTCGGAGGCAACACAAGCTTCCGTCTTCAGGTGGAACAGTCACAGCACCTACGTGACTTTACCGAAAAAACCTAAGAATATACCCCTCTTATACTGCCAGCGTGGCCTGGCTCTGCCCCCGGCCATGCCCCCTTCTGGAACCTTCTAGCGGGTTCTCGATGTGCCCCTTCCGTGACCCTTCCCTTAGATCCCTCTCTGCCGTAAGCTGCAGATCCCCTTCCCTGCCAGCAACCAGCGCTATGCTGCTACGTGACTGATTCTATGTCACTACACAGGTGTCGCTTGTCCGGGTTGTGAGGTGGGCCTGGCTGGCCTCGGGTCTGGAGGTGGCTGAACAGGCCGATTCTTGAGCTGCAGATCTTGACGAAGTGGGGGGCAGGGATGGTTCATCCTGGAGCTCGGACTTGTTGACTCTGCCTCCGGTGTGTGTACTGTGCGGCGTGCTCTTTTCCTGGCTATCAACTCTCTTCGAACTCAAAGTGTTGAGTTCCATTGTTCATTTCGGCCCTCCATGATGCTCTATCAAGGGCATCGATTTCCCAGTTGTTTGGTTCTATGCAGCTTCGCTTGAGGTGTATTTAAGGTTGTCATGGAAATGCTTCTTTTGGCCTCCAGGGGCACGGGATCCATCCCTGAGCTGCTCAGGAAGTCTCGAGTCATTCATCCGCACGAGGCGGCCTGCCCATCTGAGTTGGTGCTTCATGATGGTGGCTTCTGTATTAGATGAGTTGGATCACTCCAGGACAATGATGTTAGTTTGTCTTTCTTCCCAGCTGATGTTTATTATTTACCCGAGGCAGCGTTAATTACTTTCTTCGAGGGGTATGATTTGTTTGTGATAGGCGGCCCTGGTTTCTGCACCGTATATAACAGGATATGAATGCTCACAGAATTATAAAAAAAAAACACTTTGGTCTCGGTGGCAATGTCGTGGTCTTCAAAGATCCTGTTCTTAAGCTTGCCGAAGGCAGCACTTGCTCGAGCAATCCGATGGTGTATTTCATAATCAATTAAGACATTTCTGGAAAGATGGCTGCCTAAGTATGGGAAACTGGGAACGTTTTATAGTATTTCCTTGTTGGTAATGATTTTAGGGGGTGGTAGGTGTGCTCCCAGAGCTTGTTGAAAAAGGATCATTGTTTTGCTGGTAGGGTGTTAGACCCATCATGCTGTAAGCTTCTGTAAATATTTCTAGATTTGAAGCTTTCGTGACTGCAAGGATTCATACTCTTAGGTTTTTTCGGTAAAGTCACGTAGGTAAAAAATACATTAAAATTAATAAAAGTAATAATATAAATAAAATAAAATAATAAATCACGACGTTTCGGAGGCAACACAAGTCTCCGTCATCAGGTGGGACCGTCACAGCTACAGTAGATGTACTGTATCAAGTGATACAGTAATCACTTGATACAGTAAATCTGGCTGTGACGGTCCCACCTGATGACGGAGACTTGTGTTTCCTCCGAAACGTCGTGATTTCTTATTTTATTTTATTTCTGTTATTACTTTTATTAATTTTTATTTTTACCTATGTGACTTTACCGAAAAAACCTAAGAGTATACTTCTGTACACATGTTGACGATGGCCTGAAGGTCAGCTTCTGAGCAGGCGCTGACTTGGGCACCATCTGTATATTAGAATTCAACAACCGTTGTGATTGAGATTTTCGACTTGGCTTTGAAACGGTTGGTGTTGAATATGTTCCCGTCTGTCCTTCTTCTTCTTGTTCGTCCATCAAAGTTGATGATGACCAAGGCACTTTTGTCATTTTGTTGGGTTTTGATGAGTGCACAGATGGCTGAAGAGGCCAATCCGAGCCCGGAATTCCCTGTGGCACACTGGACAGCAGGTCAGGGAGGATGTAGAGCTCTGAGGTGCAGCC